CCCTGAGGGCAGGGCAGGTGCACATCTGAATTTCACTGGTGGGAGGCAAAATCCCTGGTTGTTTCAGTGATAAACTATTTACAGTGAGCCAGTAGGAATGGAATAAGGACCGTCTCGAATGATTTGAGGAGTGTGTAATACATGGGCTTGGCTTACAAGAATGCCTTAAATCAGCCACAAATTTGGTGCTACCTTTTAAACAAAACAGTATTTCTCACTCCTGCAAGCTGGCGGACACCCTGTTCAGTTAATTCAGCAAGGATAGAGAAAGACTTTTTAACATTTTTTTAAAATTCTTTATCAGGAGAAAAATTATAGCCGGGGGGCATGTTGCTTTGAGAATTTGGGATTACTTGGTTGAAGCTGACCCATGCAGCTTCCTTACCCTTCCCCCTCCTGGCAGGCAGATGAAGCATTTATGGTTGGAAGTGGGTATCCATATTTTTTCTTTATCTGGTGGAAGGCCATCACAGTAGTCAAGAAGGACTTGTTACAGATTTTGCTTTTCCTGTGAGGGATGCTTGAAAGCTCAGTGAAGAACCTGTAGAAATAAAAAAAAATGAGATATTTTGGCTGTGTGGGAGGGAAGCATTTAAGCATAGCAAAGAATAGGGGATTACACAGTCAAATAAACAGTTCTTGGCAGATTTTAGAGACCAGCAGTGAGAAGTAAGAAAAGTGTATCAGAGTGTAGGAAAGCATGGAAATGAAGAGAGATAATAGCATCATATTTAGAATCTGTCACTTTATCAGAATTATGTTGACTGGTTGTTAGCAGAAGAGAAGGAATTGGTTTTTTAGAGGAAGGAGGGTTGCATTTTCCCTTCATTAGCTGAGGAACCTGCTTACAGGAACTAAGACAGAATATTACTAAAAGGGGGCTTCAGGCACAAAAGAAAGGGTTATTTTTAACCCAGGGCTGCTCACTGGCTACTTTTGCAGCATGGCCCTGCAAAATACCTCTGCTGGCAATACTAAGGCTGCTTTGTGCTGCTCTGTGAGAGTGGGAAGGAGAAATCCGGATGGGAATCCTGTGGGGCAGCAGTGCCTCTGACGCCTGTGTCATGAAAATATGCCTTCAGTTAACTATTGTCCTCTGACCTCGATCCGTGCTGAAACGGGGGCTTTGCATAATCATGGAAGGAGACGGCTCCTGCTCCAAAAGATGTTATGGTTTGAATTTCCAAAACAGACAAAGGAAACATTGTGAGCCCTTTGCACATGGGAAACAGGGGCAGAGAGAGAGATTTGTCTGGGACACACAGGCTAATTTTGACAGAAGGGGCACTTAAACTGAGGTTTCCTGAATTCATTTGTGCGCTACAACCACAGGATTGCCCTTCCTTTCTCATATTGGATTTTGTTCTTCCTGAAACTTCAATTCTAATACAGGGTTGTTTATCAAAAACATTCTTTAATTCTATTCTATTTAATAGATACACTAGAAATTCTTTCCTTGTACAAAACTGTGCTGCTTGCGTGCAGGTCCAGGTTGCAACTCTGCAAGTGCCTCAGGGAGCTTCAGGTGGATTTTCTCGTTGGGGCTGCCAGGAATGGTGATGCAAGAAAAAGCAGAGGTGTGACTTCATCTTCTGCTTGTCTTTGTCCTCTTGGGGATCACAACCCCATGGGATATATAAGGGAACCTGCAAGAGCATTCATGAGGTTCTGCCCCACTTCATGTGGGAGGAAAAACAAAAGTATCTAACTAACCTGAATGTCCATTTTTCTTGCTCAGGCTTGTTCAGTCCAGAAAGGCCAGTGAGACTTGGCATTGCATGGCCAAACTGGCGTGTGCTTCCTCATGAATTTCAAGCCCCTGCTGACAAGTGGCACTGCCCATGTTCTCAGCCACGCTGGCACAGAGTTCCCCTGACCTTCTCACAGTTCTAATGACACTGCTAAGAGATGATGCTTTAGAGTTACCTACCTTTTCTCTAAACTTAAAAGCAATCCTCAAGTATTGCACTTTGGGAATGGAAACTTCAGCCTCTTAAGCGCCCTGAGTGCATGGTCATCCATCTAACATCTAAGTGGCACATCTCTGGCTCCTGAGGTCCCAGTCTTCCTGAAGATGAGCTGTTCACTTGCCTGAGACCTGAGGGAATCTGTACCTCAGAAACTAAGATCCTTCCAGAAAGCTAAATACAAGTTTGGGAGTGAAACTTTCAGTATGTCCATGGTGGGTGTCAACTTACGCAGTTTAAACTATTCTTTTGCTTTGAAGTCTCTGTTTGGGTTTGTTTGTTGAGGTTTTTTATTTTTATTTATACCCTACTGGGGCAGCTTCCTGAAGTACCTTCAGGGGCCTGGTTCCACTGCCTGTATTCCAGCTTCCAAAGATAAATTTGATTTCTGTGTTAGGAGGCAAGCTCCTTCCTTCAAGCGCTTTCTGTGTGACAGAGCTGGAAAGAGTTCAGTAAAATTTCAAAAAATGTAACCTATTTTCCTGTGTTTTCTGAGATGAATCTTTGAGAGAGATAACTCATGGTAAAATATTTACTAGTGTATCGCCTCAACTAAGGTAGGAACTCTTACAGTGCAGGTGTGAAGAAAGAAATACTTGCTCCTTAAGCTTTCTTCAATCCATGTCCTGTTCAAGCTGTCTCTGTTTCAGTGGACTCCTGAAGCTTTGCATTATATTTATTAACCTGATTTACTAATTGACCTCTAAAATTTAAACAGAGACAGAGAGAACATAAGCTGGACTCAGGCTTACAGGAATCAGTTTTGTGCCAGCTCTGCCGCAAACACCCATTTGAATTTATTACATTTATAATTTATAATAATATATTTATTATTGTATATTTGGTTTATTAATGTTTGTGGTTCCCCTGTCTACCAAATGCAGATGCTAATTCTTCCTTTTTTCCCTATCCATACTTGTGCAGACAGCAGGTTTGGACAGGAATCAGCTCCTCCTGTGTCTTTGGATACCTCACAAATGAGTCCCTAATCTTAGGTGAACCTTGTAGTTGCTTCTGTAAGCCACGAAATAATGATGGGCTTCAACCTGCTCAGGGATAAATGCAACCTTTGGATTACATTGGTGTAAATAAAAAGTCCACTGCAGTTCCCAAGTCAAAAACTGCTGGTAGTGTTTAGCATCAATGTCTGTCACTTGAACATCTGGTGTTCATCACTGCCTTCCTTTTCCTTCCACTGTCATATTTTATCCCCATCTGTTAGAGGTTTCTTAGCTCAGACTGTATAAATCACAGCTGCCTCAAAGTCAGGGTAGTGGAATCGTTACAGGCTGCAAGGCAAAGGAATGAAAAAGAGGTAGATTTAAGGAAAGTGTTTCTCTTTTGTACTCTGCTCCCCTTCTTTCTCCCCTCTCCCTGTACACAGACAGTACTGGGCAGTATTACTAGACAGCCTGATACTTTTACTATGAAGAGAGATGGAAAAGTTTCCAAAAATAGCAAATGCTTTTACCAGCCCTGGTTCTGAAGGCAGGAGGAGGAGAGGAATTGGAGCCAGAATGGACATCCATTGCCATTGTTGGAAAGACCAGAATTGACTGCTTTGGAACAACCCTTCTGCAAGTTAGTAGTAAATTGGGAAAGCAAGCATTCATTAATATCAGACTTCCTGGGCAATGACTTCGATGTATTTTTTTTTAAATTAAATTGCTCTTATTGCAGTAATTTAGGCTACTATTAGGAAGAATAATACTGAACGTGCTAGGAAAACATGGGTGGTTTAAAACTAGCCAAAAGCAGGATATTTTTACTTTTTCTTTACCTCAAGAAACTGTGCAGTGGCCTCGCAATGGCCATCACATGGGGTGTTCCCAAGCCATGCTGGCAGGGCAGCGAGCCAGAGCAGCATTCCAAAGATGCACTTCTGATGGTGAGGTAGATCCTCCACCACCCCTATATGAAACATTTCCAGTGGCATGTGTGCATTACCTGCCAAAGCAAGGTGTCACACAGCCCCCTGCACCCGCATGTGGGTTTAATTCCCTGCCAGCCTTAGCAAGTAGAGGTATTTCCTCATTCTAGAAATGCACAGAGACTCCTTAGTCCCGAGCTACTGGTAATTAGAGAAGAAAAGACCCATTTCCCTATGTCTGGAGAGGGCTGTTGCAGACTGCCACCACTATCAATCCCAGAACTTTATCCAGGCTCCAGGTGGGCTGAAGCTGGAGGGTCTCTGTACAACTGTCATGTTTTCAGATCTAGGGACAGTTTGTATTGTTGGGGACTTCATTATACTTGGAACAGCAAGAATGCCCCATGTCACTATGTGTGTTCTTCCTGATTGTCTTACTTTTTCTTTCTTTTTAGTCTCATGTGTCAAAAGTGTATCTAAAGTTTGTTTGATTTGATATCAGGTTGGCTGAAATGGGAATAAATTATTGCTGCTATTGCTCATTATCAGCTTAGCCTTCTCTTTCTGCAAAGCATATTGCATTCCTGATTTCCCATTGTTTTTCACTTATTTTCCTGTGGTGTTATCCTGCTACTCACTGCAGACTCCCAGATTCCAGCTCGGCAGCAGATCAATCAAGCAGTAGGTGTCCTGGTCAGCATCTGCATGAAGTGAAAGTGATAGGCCCAGCTCATAAACAGATGGGCTGCTGGGCTGTACTGTGGAGCAAGTCCTGGCTGATGCAGAGGGCACATGGTGGTTGGTGTGAAAGGCCAGGCAGTCCCTGGAGTCACAGTTGTTCTCTGAAGGTGGTAGATTGGTTCACTCCTGATGATTTGTTCTGACATTGCAGTCTGCTGCTGGAAGTGGATGTTGGCTTGGTGAAAGTGTTATTACTTGGCAAGGCTAAAATGTGGGACTGTGAGAGATGGAAACATGGGTCTAATGTTGCACAAACTCCTTTGCATGAGATATTGAACAAAAATAATCCAAGAATACGGTGGAAAGGATGTTGTGATTTTGATTTACTCAACTTTTTTTGCTGTCCGCACCAGATTTCTGCTTGCCAAGCATCTTTCTTATTACTAGCAGAATATTTATTCTATTTTCTCTTCCTCTTGTAGAAAATTTTACTACATCACGCTGCTGAGAGACCCTGTATCTCGTTACCTCAGCGAATGGCGTCACGTCCAACGAGGAGCCACTTGGAAGACCTCCTTGCACATGTGTGATGGCAGGACACCAACTCCTGAAGAGCTGCCATCATGCTATGAAGGCACAGACTGGTCGGGCTGCACACTGCAGGAGTTCATGGATTGCCCCTATAACTTGGCCAACAACCGCCAAGTGAGGATGTTGGCTGACTTGAGCTTGGTGGGCTGCTACAACATGTCCTTCATCCCAGAGAACAAGCGAGCACAGATCCTGCTGGAGAGCGCAAAAAAAAACCTCAAAGACATGGCCTTCTTCGGCCTGACAGAGTTCCAGAGAAAGACTCAGTACCTGTTTGAGAGAACTTTTAACCTGAAATTCATCCGGCCCTTTATGCAGTACAACAGCACCAGGGCAGGGGGGGTGGAGGTGGACAATGACACCATCCGCAGGATCGAAGAGCTCAATGACTTGGACATGCAGCTCTATGACTATGCAAAGGACCTCTTCCAACAGCGCTACCAGTACAAACGGCAGCTGGAGAGGATGGAGCAGAGGATAAAGAATCGGGAAGAGAGGCTTCTTCACCGGTCCAATGAAGCACTTCCCAAGGAAGAGACCGAAGAGCAAGGACGTTTGCCCACTGAGGACTACATGAGCCATATTATAGAGAAGTGGTAGCCTAGGCAGACTTTTATATTAATGATATTCTAGGGTTTCCATATAAGAGATCATGGAAGTAAAATTGCAAAAACAACAAAAAAATATTTTATTTAAAAGCAAGTCTGTAAAACAGAAGATAGATTGCTTCCTTAAGCATAGGGTCTTTTTACTGTTTCTTACAAGACCGATGAGATTCTTAAAAAAAAACAATAAATACATAAAAATAAAAAAAAGGGTCAACATTCTAATGCAGAGGTAAAAAATGCACAAATGCAGTTACCCACTTGTAAGGCCAAATACAGAAGAATGTTTCTTATCCTCACAATTCAAACACAAATGGCAGAAGTAGGATTTTTAAAAATCTATTTATTCCCTGAGCATAATGATATAAAGACACATAATTAAAAAACAAGGGAACTGAGGTTTTCTTCTGTGTGGGAGGCGGGATAGGAATTGTGTTGTTTGTAACTGATAATGGTGACTGAGTTGAGGATGTGCTCTCCTGTCAGGCTGATCTGAGCACACGGGCAGTCACAGTGTGTCAGCTGGCAGCCACTGCCAGAACGTAGAGCACCATAAAAACAAAAGAAGAAGAAAAATAGCTAGAGGATGAGAAACATTAAAGCAAATTGACTATGGCCTGGGATATGTACTTAGCACAGTGGTTTTGATACATTGCACTGGTATCACATGTACATATGCAACTTCATCCCAAAAATAATAGAGAATTCATGCACAGAGCTCCCAGATTTGTTTCCCAGACAGGTCCCAAAACAAGATAAAAGCCAACGAAATTCCACATGGGCTCAAACATGCACTCACATACCATCCTGTCACCCTACACCAGTGCTGCTCATGCCGTCATCAGTATTATGTGTTAACAGCACATGGAAACCCTATCCTACATACTGAGGAAAAGGAAGATGAATTTAAACACTCCCTCATAAATCTGCACAACAAGGTTCCAGGAAGACCCTGCAAATGATCAGTCATTAATGGGAACATGACGGGGGTGTGATTTTGTTGTTTGTTGCTATGTGAAATACTGACCCAGAATAAGCATACAGATGTACCCTATCTGTATTTTTACAGTTATTTTTACTTGCTTTTATCAAGAGATAATGGGCATCAGCTTGCTTCCAGTGAAGTCAGTAGAACTGATTTAAGTGGGAACAGGATGGAGCTCTCTTCCAGAGCTGTGAAAATTTCTGACTATAGGTCTGAATTAATTATGACACGGTGCACATTGTCTTTTGGCAGGGTGCCTGTTCTGCAGCTCTTACTTTAAATGAACAAGCTGTGTTCATAAAACTGGAAAGGAGAATCATGGATAATGTTTTTTTAGTCTCAGACCACTCTCAAAGCAGAACTCTTTCTCTTTCAATGCTGTTTTTTAGAGGCTCATGTAGGTTTAATCCTCCAGTGTGGGGACAGTCTAACCAGGTTCTGCTTACTGACTTTTGAGTCATAGAACAACAATGACTTCTCTAATTCCTCTTCCCACTCACCAAATTAAAGTATGGCTTATTTTTTTGCTGTTGCAAGCACTTCTCTCTTTGGCTGAAAGCATGGAAATGTAGTTTTTGCCTGGTTCATGTCTCACCCCGTTATTGCTCAGCCTGTAAGACCTGAACCAGCTATCGTTTAGGGCAAACTCTGAACCAAATGGAATATGATTTGATTTTCAAAGGCCGTGTTAACTGCAAATCAAATATGGCATTGAAATCACTGGAGGAGAGGCAGAGAGCTGATGCATTCAAATTTACCATGTCATTTTTACAGCATCCCTTTCCCATCACACAAATCCACTGATGTGCTGCTTGGTTTGTATTTTAATTCTCTCTCTGCCTCTGTACATTGTTTCCAACAGTTTCAAATTCAGACTGAATTTTGCAAAAGAGGGGCTTTGTTCTTCTGTGCACACCCTGGGGGATACACCTTACTTTTGGAGATGTTCTTCTCCAGAAGAGTAAAGACGACTGAAAACTTGAGAACAGAAAATACAAACAGCACTTTGGGCTCAATTACAGCCCTGTTAAGCCCTGAGCCAAAGTCTACCAAAGTCAAAGGATGTCTTTCCTATTGATTTCAGATGGATTTTGGTCAGGTCTGCATCCTGCTGCTGCCAAGTGCTCAAGCACATGCTCTCCTGTCTGCAGGCACAGTGGGACGTTGTTACTCACGCCTTCAGCTGGTACCAGAATGTGCTGGTGGTGTCGATGTCTTTAAGGTTGTGTCAGTACTTCTGCCACAAAATGGCCCCTGTTTCCTCCTAGGTGAAAATTGGGAAGCAAAATGAAGTAGTATTTGGTGGTTGGCTTGGGGGCAGAAGGTATTACAACTCCATTTGCTCATCTCTTGATTCCAAGGCTGGGAGAAGCTATGTCTGCTACTTCCCAGCGCTTTTATGTGTCACTGTAACTAAAGAAAACATTTGTATTTTAAAAATGCAGTTTTGCAGGCTGTTTACCCACAAAACCAATACACGAGATATAAAAAGCAACTGTTCATGTGCACAGTTTGCAGCTTTGCCCAGAGGCGTTTCGCTGTGTGTCCTGTGTGACGGATCCATAATGCACAAGTGGTTACTGCAACTCGTCCCTGTCCACGTGGCACTGTCGGGACTGTGTCGTGATTAGGCCTGAGCTGTTTCTGTGTTACAGGCTCTGAGTAACCAGCTGGATGTTAATGGATCTGTCTGCAGGGTTGTCTGAATCAGAGGCAGCCTCTGACCTTAAAAGCATGTCAGTAGAAGACCTTGTTCCAACATTTTCTTTGTAATATATTGCAGTAACAAGCAAAAGAAATGAAACTATATTGAAAACTGTCTTGTTAACAGTTTTACTTCAACCCACAAAAGGAGGGCTAACCTCACTTGAGCACTGAGGCAGAACTTTCTAGATTTAAATCCTGCACCCAACACATGCCTCAGTTTCTCCACCTGTACATTGGGAATAACAAATTTATAGACTCTAAGAAGGTACTCCAAAGTATGAAAAATATAGGGCATTTTGAAACAGATCCTAAATAATGGAAAGGAAGAGAATGGCCCAAAAGCCATCCCTCACCCTGGCTGTTGTGCTGATCCAGTCATGGCTGTAGGCCATGAATTAATTTATTCTAAGTGCTGTGTGCCAGAGCACGGGTTGCAGGATGTACCTGGCACTATCTTCCTCCTTTAGTGGGTTCAAGGGAACTTTTTTAACATAATGTGAATGTAGTTTTTGTGGTTTATATGTACCACAGTTTGAAGTGGTACTATTTCTTTTATTTTTAGGATTGATAATTTGATGCTACAATAACATGGAAAATGTGTGTGTAGTTTTAAAATTAATGGAGACCAACAGCTTTAAGGCACTCCAGCAGAAGTAGTGGCCAGATAGTACATTCTTGTTCAATATCTGCCCCTTTCTTCCAAAATGTTTTTCCCGTGACTTACGGACACATCAAGATCATCTTCACTACAGGAAGTGTTTCTTCAGGGGTTGTCAATGCATCATGACCCAGGTCAGACCAGGTGAGCACTGGAGTGCTGAGGGCAGGTGCACGATTGCCACCTGTCTCTTGGGGAGTTGGTGAGGCAGTTCCCCCTGAATTCAGATTTTACTTAGTTGGATGCTTATCCATCCCACAGGGATACCCCCTGGAAAGCCTCCACGGAAGCTGGGGCTGTGTGAGATGTTTCTGAGGGTTTATGCAGTGAGCAGTGTTAGTGTGAGCGAGCAGTTTGGGCAGGCAGCTCTCAGGGCACAGATGATGGATGGCCCCTGGGCTCTGCCATCTTGCACTGTGCTGACCCTGTACATCCACAGAAGGGGATGGGGAGTGGGGATTTCTGAGCAGACTCCATTCCTGCTCTAAGCAGGTGGAAAGGCCAAGACATGCTGCAGTGCTAAGAAGATCTTCTTTGCTTTTAGTCACCTAAACGGTGTAAACTTCACTGCTTGGTGGCTGTTGTTGCTGAAGAAAAGTTTTTATTGCTGATTGGCCTCATCCCAGCTAGCTCTCTTGAAGGAGTTTGCCTTCTCCAAAATTTTCCAGACAGTCAGGTGCCATCTTGTACCCTGCCTGGGTCACAAAATGCAGGATTGACTGGTGAGGTTGCCAACCCAGACTATCAAAATTGTAAAAAAAGTACTTCATCAAAGGATCAGTGTGAATTTCTGGCTTGTCTGAATTTCTCCCTTCATGCCCAATATTTTGGAATAAATGAGAAGGACTTCACAGGTTGATGTTTTTGCACTCCATAGTCCCTTACTTACAAAACTAGGATGGCAATGGAAGCAGCATAAGGAAGATCCCAACAAGGTTTTGCATCCTCTCTCCCAAGACTGTCCTGTTGGAGCACGAAAGAGCAGTGCAGTTGCAGAGAGTGTGAGCAAGGCAGGAGGACACCACAGTGGCAGTACAGACAATTAGGAAGTTTTCAATTCTGAGCCCATCAAGTCACTTCATAGAGATCACTGGACAGCTACAGGAGGTAATGATTACAGCACTAAACATGTAAACATTACAGCACAGGGCCTGGCTCAGATTCATATCCTGGGGTTAAAGCATCTCTAGCTTCTTACTGGTGGTGTTACTCAGAACCCCTCCTGTCCCACAGAATTTTCCAAACGTCACAAAAAAAGGGTAATGCTACAGGAATTCACCACCCAAACTATGCTAAATGTTGTATTCCCAGGGCTATAGCTTGGAATACAACTGGCACTACCTGCTGGATTCAAATCACAGGACTGGCTGCGTTCTCTTTTTGTTCTTGTTTTCACTAATCTTAGCAGATCATGTTCCAGAGGCAGAAGTGAACACAGGATTCTCTGCCTGATCAGGAGTAGAGCCAAGCCTTTATAGCACAGGTCAGTGAGCAGCAGCTCAGGTAAACCAGGGTGCAGCAGAGCTCATGCCTGTGCACACAGTCCCAGCTCTCCGTGGCTGTTTTGCCCCAGCCACAGGAGTTGTGCCAAGGTGAGTGCAGCCCGGAGAAGCACGTGGGTGTTAAAGCCTGTGTCATCCCAGCTGCAGGCAGTTTTCTCTGTAATTCTTAGCCATGCAAGCTGAAAAAAACAAGATTTGCAAATGAGTCTGTCTCCTCAAAGCCCCACAACTCCCCCTCCCCGTTTTCCCCCAGGTGTCAGTTCTGCAGACTGGATTGAGAGAGTTGTACTATAATGAATAATTTTATATTCAAATGGTTTACTGAGCATGATTTGTTTTGTACATATTGGAATATGATTTAACTTATTTTTATTGCCCCTTTTAATCTTTTTTTTTTCATAAGGACGAGACAAAAGTCCCCACCCTCTCTCAATGTGAACTTCCTCTGTGTATATGTGTAGTCTGCCAGGCAAACACACAATAGCCACAGGATTTTTCTCCATCTCCATTGGTATCTGATTTTATTTTCCATTGTAATTTCTTTTCATCTGAGGCTTTGCTTATATTGTCTCTTCTTTCCTCTCTGCTGCACAATCTGCACTGAAGGGGCAATGCAGGCAGGATTTTCTTTTTCTTCCTCTCCTCTTTTTTGTGTGCTTTACCTACCAAGGAACTCAGTTCTTCTAGGAGTTGTGTGACTGAGGGTAAAAAAATACAGCTTTTCCCCACCTACCTTCCATCCTCCATATTGTAGATCAAACAGATTCAGCTTCTCTGAAAGTGATTGTGGCTGGAGTCATTCCATTGAGCTGAATATGTATGGTTTGCACTTTTTTCCCCCACTTCAGGAACTTAAAAACAAGAAAAAATAAAAGGCAAATTTTAACTTGAGCCAAGTAACACTTAAAGCTTTATATATTTATTTATGACATCTTACAAAAAGTGTTAAAATGTTTTCTTCTTTTCTTCCACAAGAAAAATTGAATTAAAAATCATCAAAATTGTTTTGTCTAGATCAAGAATGAATGTTAGCAGATGAAATAAACCCTAAAATTGAGCATCTGGTGTGTGTGTTATCCTTGAATTGGCCTTTGGATGCTGTTTCAGTGTAATATGTCTTGCCTGTGTATTACAGAGAGATAAAGCTGCCAGTGGAGTTGATGAAGAATATTTGTTTTCTGCTACAAAAACAGACTCCTAACAAGAAACATTCAAACAGAAACTGCAGTCTGTTCATTCCTATTGTTACATTTCAGCCAGCATTGCAAAAAGCCCTTAAACACCCTAAAACCTATCATCTTTTAAAAGTTAATTACCTTTGATACTGTACAGTCCTCTTAGTTTTCTTTTTCAGAGTCACTGCAATGAACATACTTACAGGCAATAAATGGAGGTTGTTATACCAAATATTACAGAATAATTAACAGATTTTTTTTTTTGTTGTTTCATGTTCAGAATTGCTTTCAGCAATTGCTGTGTGTAAATGTTCTGCAGTTACTGAACTGAGCCTCGTGCCTGGTTGGTACAGTGAAAGTAAGTTAGGAGAGTGATGGTACAAGTGTTTCACAGTATCCTGGAGAACAGCAAGATATTTATGCAAAGTGCAGCAAATAACAACACTGTGGTTTTACCAAAGCATTATTACAGCTGACACCTTCCACTACACCTGTCTGAGGGGCAGTGCAGGTACAGGTAGAGGGCTCAGGTGAGTGACAGTGTGAGAGGAGTGCCTGGGATCCTGAGGGGTTCATCTGGGATCCTGAGGGGTTCATCTGGGATCCTGAGGGGTTCACCTGGGATCCTGACGATGTTCAGTTGGGATCCTGAGGATGTTTACTTGTGATCCTGAGAGGTTCACCTGGGATCCTGAGGGGTTCATCAGGGATCCTGAGGATGTTCACCTGGGATCCTGAGGGGTTCATCTGGGATCCTGACAATGTTCACCTGGGATCCTGACAATGTTCACCTGGGCTCCTGAGGGGTTCACCTGGGATCTTACAGAGGTTCCCCCTGTGGTCGGTGGGGAGGGGCAGGCACAGCCCTGCGGTCAGTCCGTCCCAGCTGTGCTGCTCCCTCTGCCCAGGAGCCCTCCTGTCCCGCTCTCCGGGGCTGCCTCTCGCCGTGACCGGGACGGTCCCTCTGCCGAGCTGCCAGAGGAACTTCCCGGCTCCATTCCCTCCCTGCAGACAGCGCGGCTGCCGAGGTACTGACACAGCTTGTCCTGCTGCGTGGGGTCCTGTGCTGTTCGCGTTTGAAACTGCTCTTGGTCTCCTCCTTTGCCTTCCCAAAAGCCTGGAGGATACTCTGGCACAAGAAGTCTGTGCTGGCAAATTGCTTTCATTTGCAAATGGTCTTTTTGCACCATCTTTAAGGTGTTTCTTCCTCTCAATGGAAACCTCCAGGAAAAGGAGAGGAGGAAGGATAGCTAGCAAGAGTGTGGAAGTAAGGGTTCTGCTATTGCAAAAAGGGAAAGGGGCAGAAAGGGTGCTTGAAGGAGGGTTAAAAGAAGCAGAGAAATTAGTTACTGAGGGGATGACCTCCAGAGTTTGGTTTTTTCCTTGGTCACACTGGTGATTATTCAGTTTCTTTATGCTTGTGTCCAGGATGTCCCTGTTTCTATTCTATCTGGTCATTTTACACTATCCAGGGCTGCTTCTGGGGGATGTGCTGCCTCGGGTTAATTGGTAAGTGCCCTCCTTTACATCCTGCTGTTCCCCTAACAAAAAGCAGCTCCTGGCTGTTCTGCTGCCCCAGGTGACAGCCTGCTCTTCCTGAATAGAAAAGCTGATCTCGACTGTACCCTGTCGGAGGAGGTGGTACTGAGCTTTTGTTAGAGGTTGTGTTTTGTTTCTCTGGCTTACGATCTCCCACAGAGTTACTTTAACTCTTTAATAACCTCTTTCTTGCCACTGTCTGCTGGAGGAAGAAAAGCAGAGCAAATCTTCTTTAACGCTGAAATGCCAACAATTTTCTACACTGATGATTGATCACAAACAGGAGGAGCTGGAACCTTTGGCCCAGTCCCAGAGATTTGACATCACTGCATAAGTGAAACCTGGTGGGATGAGCCCTGTGACTGGAGTGCCCTGTTGGATGGTTCCAGGCTCTTCAGGAGGGATGGGCAGGGCAGGAGAGGTGGAGGGGTGGCACTGTATGTAATGGAAGGGCTGGAGTATCTGGAGCTCACAGTTGGCAGTGGCACAGTTGGGAGCCCCTGGGGCAAACAAATAATGTGGATGTCATTGTGGGATTCTGCTCTAGACCTCCCAGCCGGGGTGATGACAGCAACGAGGTATTCTGAGGAACTAAGGGACACTTCCAAGTCAGCTGCCCTTGTCCTTATGGGAGACTTCAACTTGCCAGAAATTAACTGGGAGCATCACACAGCTGGTACAACCCAGCACATCAGCTTAGACCTTCTCAGCTCAGGGGGAAACTAAGACACATTCATCACACACTCAAAAAAAATATGCTGTGGGCTTAACAGTAAAACAGTTTGAGTTTTACTATAGTAGTTATTTCATAAACTTCAAATTAAAAGGGGTGGGGTCATGAAATATTCATGAATTGAACAGTATTGAATAGAGCATTGCTATGTATCTGTTAAAGCAATCAGAGATTCCAGTGAGGAAGGCTTCTCTAGCAAGGTCCTGTGTGCTTTAATTGATCTGGGAAGTATGTGGCTTGGAAAAGAGATCATGCCTTCATATTTTGCAGACATCATCTATAAGCCTGAAATGAATAAGATTATCAACATCTATTCATTAATCAGACTATACTTTAGCATATTCAGGAGCTTTGGTGTGTGATACTTGGGTGTGTGTTTCTTAGGGCTTAGAAATTCTTTGTCTGACATGAATTTACTCATTTCTCTCTCTCTCTCTCTCTGGTGATGCTCTTCTCAGAAGCTTTTCTGCTCTTGAGTGCTTTCACATCCCTGCCTTACCCTTGCCCACCCCGTAGTCCTGCTCTGCAGAAGATCTGTCCCCAGGGATGGAGGGCATGCAATATCCCAGTCAGGGATCTTGTGACCTTTGCACAGGGAGCTGCAGAACTGAGATGCTTTTTAATCAATATCCAGCCAACAACACAAGGGTAAAGTTGAATACCTGTCCTCCATGAGCTGGGAATGGATGAGGGATAGCACTGCTTTGCAAATGTTTATTGAACTAGATGTTATTTATGTATTTATTTTGCCCTCCCCACTAATACATTGTATCAGATTATGGTTATGGAATCCAGATGTTTGTGCAGTAAATGAGTAATAGTGATAAATAATAAATATTTAATTCATGTGGCTTTAACATATTCTAGTTCTTGCTGGATTCCATTTAAAAGCGCCTTCTTTTTATTGATTTAAACCAAATGTTATGCTCACTTGTGCTGTAAATGGTAAAGAAATTCCATGCAGCCTAATCTAGTTAATTCAGTCTGGATACCTGATCATGAAATGAATATGTGGTAATCAGTCATCAGTTTTCTGGCATAGGCAATGACAACATGTATAAATCATATGGCCTTTGTGAGAGGGTAAATAACTTCCCTGTAGAGCCCTTACTTTGGGATCAGATAATTATTGCCAGACATTGTTTTCTGAACAAGAGCTCACAGCCAAACTGGTGAATGGTCAGATGTTTTACATATTACAACAGCCCCCATCAGTATTGATTTCTACTGATCATATATTTTTTTCTTTCCTTAATATCAAATATTTGGGTGCTAAGTGTGAATTTATAAACCGATGCCAATTAGCCACAGATTTGTGTAGGCTTTTAAATTTTACCAGGTTAATGAATCACTAAACCTTTTTTGTTACTGGAAATACTAAAGCCATGCTGCTACTGGAGCTAGTTAATGGAGGCTTTGCTCCAAGACTGCACAACCTGGGTCTTAGAAAACTGTGCCACTGGGAGAGATATGCAATGTTCTGGACTGAGAGTTCTGCTGCTTGTTAGGTTTTGCTCAAGTGTGAAGTGACTGCAAAAATTCGAGAGTCCTCTGTTTTGAGGGTAGTCTGACCTTCTGAAACAGCTAAAATGACCAACATTTAGTTGTTTCAGGGGTGAAAATGGAGACAGTGATCCTGTTTGAGGAGAAACTCTTGATTAGGATCCTCCCTGATGTTATCACTAGAGCCTTTATTGGAACTGTTCTGGATAGTTTTCCATGCATTTCTTTCTGAATACTGTTGTGAGGCAAATGATTTTGCTCTTCCACGTGGAAAGCTTTTCAAAGGAAAGTATGTAAAATAGGGGGCCAGAGTGCTGGCTGAAGTCCTGGCCTTGATGGGCATGGCCTGGTCTGTAGTTCTTTGGTGGTACCCTTAGAGAGAGACATCCATAATCTTTTGGAAACAGTGTTTAATCTGAGCACATTCAGGCTTTTTTTTTTTCTTCTTTGCAGTGTCTTAATAATTTAGAGGTTGTTTTTACCATCTATCAGCCTGCCTGCCTCTGCTCTGGCGAGTGCTGTGTGCCATGCCATGCCATGGGCAGTGAAAGGCACTAGCATGGCTGCCTTCTCCAGTGAGGAACAAATCCAGGATTAGCTCTGCCAGGGCAGCACACAGAGACAGGGACAGGCCTTGGTGGGCTAAAACTCTGGCCAAGCTGAGCTTTGTGGCGTGGGCTGTGTGTGGTACTGCAGTGTCCTCCAGCAGGGATGGCTGCTGGCCTGCCAGCTAAGCTCTGCAGATGTGTTCGTGTTGTCTGGACTTCTTATATGTACATTTAAGGACTTTCACAAGAAAATTGAACCATGCATCCACAGGGACAGTGTTTGGGAGGAACAATTACATCATTAAATAAAGCTTTCTGTTTGCATGCCAACACAACAGGCTTCACTGTCTCATCATGATCTGCCATTTGTTAGCAGTTGCTTGTTAGGGGCTTTCTGCTCTAGGCCCATTCTTGCTTTTGTGTATATTTTAGTCATCTTGACAAGGGAAAAGAACTCTATTAAGTAGAAGCACTTACAATTCACAGTGCCTGTAACATCTGTTGCAGGACTGGAATCACAAACCACATCAGCATATTTCTTTTTTGCTTGTTTTCTCTGT